CATCACCGAACAAAACTGACTCTGGTTCCAATGCTTGAAGAAAACAGGGATGTTCTATTATATAAACTAAACATAGGTATGTAGATTGTGTTGAGAGTGAATGTAATTATTAACGTAAATGATTGATATGAGAGGGTCGATGGCGGAATATCTAGTACCCGCTCAATTAGGTTAGATGTATAATATGTAAAAACTTGTGTGGAGAGTGAACTGATTTATTAGCGTGAGTATGTGATGTGAGAGGGTCGATGGCAGAATATCGAGTACCCGAACGGCCTTTAATTAGGCTATTTGTATAATGTGTGTATGGAGGAATATTGAGTACTCTATCACCCTAATTGAATGAATGGTATGTAAATAGGAGTGAATGTATTTAAAAATGAACGTGGGTACGAATGTGTTTGGAACTGCTTGGCTCGTCTGAATTGACCTAGCTGTTGACAGCACCCGAGGTGGTATTCTCGAGTCTGCCGGCGATTTATTGTAAATAGCAAAAGTTGAATTTGCCGGGGGACTACGAGAATCCATAGGCTCACTCAGCACATGCATGAACGTACATGTGCAGATTTGCGCCCATAAATCCAAAATCCAAACAATTGAATCTGGAGTGTCTCAGTTCAAGTTCTAGTCCCAATTTTTTTATATGAATTTTTAAATGCACTCTCAATAGTTGACTGTCGAATTGTGTAGTACTCTGTCAACGTATTGGGTTGTCCGGAAAATAATGCAGGATTTTAAGTTTTCATTAAAAAAAATCTATATAAAATATTCTGTTTACGTTTACAGGATACTCATTTGNAAATTATTTTGATTAAAGAACATTGCTTTAAAGTAACTAGTTTCTTTTTTTTTGTTTAATACCAAAATCCTGCATTATTTTCCGGACAACCCAATAGCACTGTATTGCTAATCGTGGAGGGTAAGTTCTGTTGCAAACAAAATAATTCGTAATCTTCATAGGATTATCAACTTTCGATACAGATCGAAACTTAGGTTTAATACTGCAGTATGATACAATTCTATTCACCAGAAGATACTTTTGAAGAGACACTATAAGTATTTAAAATTCTAACGTTGCATGGCCCAGCAGTGTAAAATACCTCGGTGTACACCACAAGTTCATACTGAGCTTTAGTGTTAACACATGCAAACACAAATTTTTAAGACTAATCACATCCTTAAAGTGTAGAACACCAATTATTTTTTAACATGAACTTTTAAATTTGCGCTAGGTAAAGGAAGAAACCCAGAATAGAGAACTAGTTTTTTTTGTACCTCGTCGAATTTAAAAATACTATTTATATATGTATTTAATTAAATGAGCATTTGATTAGTTTTAAGTTTTGTTATAGATAATTTTATTAGGTTTCGTGGTCCGCATGACCAAATAAATTCTTTTCAATTAATCAAGGTTTTGGTTGAGATAAAAAAGTCAGTGTCACACGCGGGATTCGAACCCACGACCTTCGGCTAAATACGCCGCTGCTCTACCACTTGAGCGATCGTGACTTTGATCCACTCCAACAGAAGTTAGTGGATCGAAGTCACGATAGCTCAAGTAGAGCAGCGGCGTATTAAGCCGAAGGTCGTGGGTTCGAATACCGCTTGTGACACTGACTTTTTTATTTTAGCCAAAACCTTAGTTACAGATAATTTAAATTTTGTCACTGTTTTTGTCAATATTTAATATATTAGTAGTGTTTTTAAAAAATATGTATATAAATTACTATTTTTTTTTTTTTTTTTTTTTTTTNTCCTCGACAGCCACGTCCTTTCACGCATCACCTCTCACGCTAATAAATACATTCATTCTGGACAAGCCACTACACTTCGGAAGTATAGTACCAACGAAATGCCAATGGCCCGTCCCTCTCATCATACTACAAATATATAACATATCTATACTAATTTGGTGGGCCTGTGGGTACTTGATATTCCGACACAGCCACACCCATGCATACTTCGACATTCACGCAAAATATGTACAATACAAATACATATTATCATACAAATTACTAGTTTTTTAATTGTTTTCTCCTCTGTCACATTAAAGCGGCCTTATTGTGTAAAATTGTTGCATTAATTCTTCGTTTTATTGCTGTTTAACCACAATAAATTATACAGTATTATTCGGACTTTCAACCCGACGTGTTGTCATTCCCCATGTGCTGACCTTAGTGTCTATACATCAGGGAGTTCATCCACCCAGCTAGTATCCCCCTTAAGCCAAATGCCAAGGATCGTATTTTCCATGCCAATGCGAGCTATCGGCAGCTAGGTTATTTCAGCCCCAAACGCATGCAAACTATAATCTAGCCTAACTGAAAAATCAGTCCCACAAATAAATACATTCATAGATTGCACTCATTCTGTTAAGTGGAGGATATTCAACCAACAAGCATGCATAAAAATATAATCTAACTAAATTAGGGTCGATGAGGTACATTTATAAATATTCCGCCATCGACCCTAAACACATACACTGCCTGAGGGGCGATGGTGACATTATATTTCACCATCACCCCCCCCATCACTCACACTAATAAATACACGCAAACAAATAATGACAAAACACATAGAAATATACAATAAAATACTCCCACGTCCTATAAAAAACTGCACAGGGGACCCAGAAAACGACTGCCATGCTCGAGAACCATTCCTAAACTCGGCATGCCTACACGCCTCAATATGATGTCAAGACATGACCCGCCTCTATTATGTGGGGCACATCGAGCAACTTTTCTCTGCGTAACCCCTGCGCGGGCGTTGTACACAATATTATTATACTTGAAATAAGATCTTTCCCGATCATCATGATTCGCTTATCCTCGGTGGGTTAGGGGTCAGTCAGGACCATTTCGGCTTTTCACCATCTTCAGGGAGTTTCCAATCTGCCTTTTCCTTGTTTTACCTCAAAATGCTCAGTCAAAGGTAAATCCTCATTTATCGACGATAACAGTAACAAAAGAAAAACGTCAGATAAACTTAGTAAACATGTTACATATTATATACAGTTTGTAAGCCAGCAAAATCAATCAATTAAGGCATATAATTGAACTTAAACGATACATTTTATGTAATTTGGTCGTTTTCGAACATCCTAGCCTGCCTATCCTAGATGTATTGATGTGTCAAACGGGTTTCAGCACTTCGCCATCTTCATATGCTTGTCGGAAAACTGCTGCCCTTGTTTGCCAGAAATGCCGATAAACTTCTGACACAGCAAGAACAGGCAGACCAAGATGATCGGTAAGGATCAAATTACAGGTTCATCACCCCGCAGACCACACGAAGAAGTCTCACGATTAAACGTGCTGTTCGATCGCCTGGCTGCGAGAAATACCATTTAGTTATTGTTGATGATCATAACGTTCTGGATGTAGCTCAAGCGCGATTCACCTTCCGTTTTTCCGAAAGGGTTGACATTTTTAGAAATAACTTGAGAACGGTTGCTTAGATCAAAATTGTTCGGTTGTTGAAAAACTAGACAAATGATAAACTATTACGTAGGGGTTTTTCCCAAAAACGCCCGATCAAAAATAAATAAAAATAAAAAATAGGGGGAACATGAGTTAAACTTACCCTTTATAGTTTTTGTGTTGCACTATCATTCAAAAATCGCGAGGTCTGAGTTGTGACGAACCTGTGTTTGATCCTTTCTGAGCGTTTTGGTCTGTCAGTCGCGTTTTGACCTGTCTTCAGTTGCTGGTTTTACCCAAAACCGAAGATGGCGAGAAGCCGAAACACACCCGACAAGCATAAACTGTAAGGAAAGGCAGACCAAAACGATCCGACACGGCTTAACAACACCAATCACCCTTGTCCTGCTTGTTCAAAACTTCCTGCCTATTTTTCAACGTACACGTGCCTATAACACCTGCTACGGTGTGTCTACCAGATCTAGTTCACTACTTGCTTCTGTATTATTCGGATAATTTGAGTTTTTTAAATAATGATCGGTCCTAATCAGTTCCAATCAGCAGGACTCTACTATATGAGAGGAACATTTGCCCAATATTTTTCAATTATATTTTATAGAATAGAACATTTATTCTATCGGTAGTTCAAAAAAAGTAACCCTAATACAAAAATCGACGTACTCAACAATTCGTCATGATAATTTTTGATTAATTTTTATATTTGATTGATTTATAGATATAAATATTTTAATAATATTGGGTTGAAGCCTGCATTTTGCTCCCGAAGAACTTTAAAATAGTAATTATGACTTTTTTAAAATTTTACCTAATAGCAATGGTATTTTGTTGTTAGTTTTAAACAGGGGCGAAATATGACGAGCATTTAAAACTGACATCAAGACCAATATGACCAAGTTCTGTCGACTTCTTCATTGAATCGTGTTTGCAATTTTTTTTATATAAGTTAGCTGCGTGGGAGTCTATTATGAAATAAATTATTTTGATATTATATTTTTAGTGCAGTTGGCACAAGAAGTATTTAATCGTTTGTAAGGCAATAAAAGAAAAACTCAATCTTGATATTATTGTACTTAAAAAAAGTTGAAAGTCATGTCGGCCTTTCCGCTGAGCCGGATCCGCCCCTGATTTATGTTTCTTGTCTAGGCGTCCTGGGATTTTTCCCTGAACCATCGTCATGAAAAATTTCTGAATGTTTTTTCGGGGAAACAAGATCGAACTTGAACTTAGGTTTTATCTATTATCACGAATTATCGCAGGGTTATTTGGAGCCGGTCCACACTGTAATTTCAGGGCGGGAAGCTAATTAAGTTATGTAAGAAATAATTCTATTGAAAGTCAACGTCCTGATAATCCTTCAAGCACCGGATCAAGGGCGAAATTAGGAAAGTGCAGGGCCGCATAGATTGGATATCGCGACCGATGCAACAAGTTTTCGAGAATTACTCCGATTCCAAGTCGGCTTGGCTGCTCCTGCGGTTAATACCATTTTCAATTTTTTAAATCCAGGGAGGTGGGCAGGACGGCTTGTTCCCGGAGTGGGGAGGTTCAGGTAAAAACTGAAAGTGACTGAATTGTGTGGAACTCGTCTCGTGGAAAAGAAGTATCCCAGTCAACAGCCGGCCTCCTTCAGAAGACCATCATGATATTGAAAGCCCTAAGCCTAATTGTAAGTTACATGTACAAAACTCTACTTTTGAACAAAACTTAATATACAATAACATTTTCTGGCAGTTTTAAATGTGCATTATCTAATTTTTCAATAGGTTAGAAATTTATACTTAAATTTTTCTTTAGCTAGAATTTATTAAACTTTATTTATTCAATTTCATTAAAAATCAAATCAAATTAAAATAAAATATTGGATATATATACAGTGCTAAATTATTATTTACTATTTCCGAACTGTAGAAATCAGCGTTCATAATGCAAATGAGCAATTTTTCCCTAATAGATCTAGTATTATAGAGACCTAGTAGGCCTCTTTTATGAATTCCCGCATCCTAACATATTTTTAAAAAGCGTAACCGTTAATTAACTCGATGGTTTAATAGCTGTAGGTCACACATTTATTATAGCTTGTAATGATCCTTCAATATTCTGCACTGTTTTTTTACAATTGACAACAATTTTACAGTCATTACTTCAAATTCTAAAAAAGCCTAATAAATATTCTATTGATATCTTTCAGCAAGGCATAATTGTTTGATTGTATGAATGTATCTATATGTAATTTGGAAAATTTTGGTTAAATCGAAATAATTTGGTTATCGTGACATATTTAAAAAAAATGATTTGTTTGTACAAAATTAAGTTAGTTATTTTAAATTAGAAAATATCTGTTTAAACCATAAATTTATGATTACATTAAAGGGTAAGTTAACATAAGAAAACAACAATATGACCTTATACAATAAGTGACAATCTGTATATGAATTTTTTTTGCGAAATATAACAACACACATTCAATACATTCACACAAATAAATACTTTCACAACTACATACATTGAATTCATTCTATTTAGTTGATCGAGTACTCCTTCCTCTATCAATCTGCATACAATAACAAACAAAATTGAGGTCGATGGGGTACTTTTATAAATATTCCGCCATCGAGTAAGTCACGTATACAGCTGGAGGGGCGATGGGGATGATTTTTCACCATCAGCCCCTCCACATTCACGCTAGTAAATACACTCACTCATACAAAACACAGAACAACTCAATTTATTCGTCAAGCTTGTCGAGGATTGCATTTTCTTCGTCAGGACTTCCAAACTATTTCTAATATTAATTCATTTAATAGTCATCATTGACCGTATTAATTATGATAATTACTTATACTTTTAATCAAAGTATTGGTTGCTGGGGCTCGAACCCACGACCTTCGACTAAGCCCTAACTTAACAAACATAATTATCTGAGATGACTCATATAACTGAGGCAATAATCTAGATTATAAAACTTAATCGTGTAAATCATTATAAATAGTTTCATGACTATTGATGAACAATGATTTCATGAAGGATATTCATCGAAAGCATGACTGAAGAAAACTAATAGTTTTTTCTTTCAATTTTGCCTTTTCTCTGACTTTTTATTATATAAAATTGAAATATTAGGACATATAAATCAAATTAAGATGAATAAACATACTGGGAAATATGTTTTCTTTGTATTTTATTAAAACGACTAAAAGTATTTTTAACACTACTTGTACATAGAGTGCTGAATATAGATTTTTGTAAAATGTTTGCTTCAACATTTGATAACTATTTCATATTTTGTAAATGCAAAACTATTTAGCAAGTTTTTGTTACTAATTCATTCAAAGCATCAATGTTGGGTACGTAACATTTCGAAATATTATAAATTACAATAGCTTTTTTTTAATAAAAGCAAACTATATATGCAAATAGTTTTCGTTGCAGTTCATATAGTAAAATATTGTCCATACTTAAAATTCTTTTTTCTAAGCCTGAATAATAAAACATATGCTGATCTAATAATATGTTATCATTATCTTTATTATATCCCTCCGTCTATTCTTGCTGTATATTTTTCCACTTTCCAGTGGATGTCATCTTTTTACTGTCGCTTCTTGTGTTGAACCATCTTAAAAATATAACATTCGACTTTGTTATTAACAAAAATAGTGGGGGCGTCCGTTGCCGCAACGGCGCTCATGACTGTAAGCTAAAGGTCCCGGGTTCGAATCCAGGGGCCTTGCATTCAAACCTGACATATTTACAAAGGGGCTTTTTTTCAAAAACACTGGCACTCCGAGGGTTGATACGACCTCCGCTGTTGCGAACCTTCGTTTAAAAAAACGTATAAAAATCATTTTATATGGTGGATAGTGGTTCAGAAGAATGAATTGTTGTTTAAAAAATGAATTTAAGAATGAAAACTGTATTTCTTTACAGAAGAACACAATTCGCGAAAATGGATCATCCTTTATCAATTTGTCACAACCATACTTTCTGATATAGTTATTACTCAAGAAAAAATTTATTTAATTTAGTTTCCCTTTTTTTCCACCGATAATACACATTTTGATCAACTCTATCTGACCTTTTTTACATCTATTATTTTTTATCAAGTAATTCTATCGTTTACTTTCTTATTCACTCTTTTTATTATCAACTATTATTATTATTATTATTCACTATTTTTAATGTAACTTCTAAGGTCATTTGCCCTTCCACTGGCAGAAATTATTGTTGACTCTTCTTCTGACTGTGGCCTCAAATTTGGCGAGACTTTGCTAATTAGAAGGAGGATCTTCAGTACACAAGTTAGTTGTTTTGAAAACAACAGTGTTTTATTTCTTAATTCTTAATTGTAAAATGTTAATATAATAACACACAAAAAACAGCTTTATAATCTTGAGAGAATTTTTTTAAACAGCGTTGACCAGAGGGCTGATATAATGAAATAATTATGGTCAGAATCTTTTTTGACATTTTAACCAGCTCAATAGTTCAGTACAAATCAGAGAGGGCAATACTTAAAAGAAAGATAGATTTTCATTTCTCATATTGCCACAATTTTCATTTTATTCAGTTTTAACATATTCCATGCATTATTTATGCTATCCATTTACATAATACGTACGTTAAAAATTGGCAAAATTGAGTAAATAATATAATTAATGCATATCTAGGTAATGCATGAGTCGAACTGAAATCAAGGTCATTTCAGCATCAAAACATTAGTCGGTTGACCGACATTTATTTTAATTACTGACGACCCAGTGATTATTAAGGCTTCATGCTTCTTCACGGACATTTGCCGAACAATCCTTTTTCACCCTTTTTTTCCGGATTAACAAATGTTAATTTGGTTCGTAGCGTCGGACGACGTGTTTTTCGGAGAAATCAAGGCTCACAGACTACCTAATTTCACCTTGATGATGGAGTCGGGTCTAAATGAAACCCAGTTTCCGACTTTAATCCCGATCTTCCCATTGGAGAGATTTACACCGTATTCGGAAAGTTCTCTGCAATATCAAACGAGTAGAGTTTTCTGCCAATGCATTGTGTCATCCATGACTCGGTGAGTGCATTCTCTCTGAACGAAGATTACAGGAAATGACAATTATTGAAAGATTGTACTCGAACGATAAAATGAACGTACATTAATGTCGTTCGATATTTCTTTACAAAACTGCACATATAATTGCCCACATTGCTGCATTTTATCATTTTTTACTGTTGCATTATGTAAATTCTTTAACAAAGCATAACATTTTTAGACAAACATGACTTATAAAAATATTATTATATAGCAGAATATCTGAACCGAAATAAAGAACTTAAACTTAAGCAAGTAGTAATTTAATTCACTCAGGGTATAAAAAACATGTATTTTCATAACTCGCCCTTCAGTCTTCTGTGAAGTAAAAACGGGCCATCAAATCTGACGGATAAAATTGTTTACTGGGCCATAACCTAGGAATCTGAGACGTCGGATTCCATTATGTTCTGTACAAAAAAAAGTCTATTCTCTTATCTATGTGATGGCTAGATGGAACGCATTACTCAGCCTGTCAGCTCATAGAAACTAACACAAATGGTAAATAATAATTTCAATACTAACTGGTGTTAGTAATTCTCATCTTGCGATATTCCAAGGAACCCGGTAATGAACTGAGACAACATGAGGTGAGGAATTTTAGCAAAAAGGGTTACTAAAAAGAAGTTCGTTTTAAAGTATAGACCATTTCTTACTAAAAAAAGAACTAGGAAACATCTGAAGACTCCTCAAACATTCAACAATGTCAATGTGACCAATGCCATTTAAGTAATAATATTTTATTGAATAATAAACATAAAATCACAAGAATATACAACACGAGAATACACTAAGAGCACGCACTTTTTGAATAAAATAATTTTAAAAAATAAAATATTTTAAGAGAAAAAGGGGATCAGAAAAAGAGTCTGAGTGTGTGAGACAGAGAGAGAGAGAGAGAGAGAGAGAGAGAGAGAGAGAGAGAGAGAGAGAGAGAGAGAGGGAGAGAGAGAGAAATAGGAGAAAAGAGAGAAGAAGAAAGGGATAAAGAATGAGAGAGACAGATCAATAGGAATTACAACAAAGGAAGTTTACTTTTGTCAAGTCCAACGTTTTTATTTTACCGTTTGCATTATTTGTTAGGATTCTGGATTTGACAAAACCTCGCAGTGAGCATTGTAATATTCAGTCGGCAAATACCTCAAAAGAAACAAACAATTAGAAGATAATTTACTTCGTTCTACGCGATTCCCATGGGTTCTGATCTTCACGACCCTAGCTCCATTAGTGAGTAGAGGTGTAAAGAAAGAAACTAAAACTTATCTGGACGTAATAAGACGGAACGAAGGATACTGCCGGATGAAAAGATCTGCAGGTGGATACCGTCAAAGCGATGTAATTGATCTTAGGATAATGGCTACTGCTCATTGCCTTGTCTTGATTTTTTTTCTTTTTTTTGTGAATCTCCTCTCACCGAACTTATGCAAGTTATATCCAAGACGGGCGTTTCGATATCATGCTACGTGAACTAGGATTTTGTAACGGTCCAGACGGAAATAATGAAACCGATTAAGACCAACGGTAATTTCCCTCAAAACCAGTGATCATGGCTTAACAGGATTTCTGACATCCCAGAAATTCAGACCGGGATGGAAGATATTGGCGGAACTGGAACTTTTATGGCAGATTTGTAAAAACTTACACTAAAACCTCTTCTAGAAAAGTATAATTTTGTTCAAAAATTGTATGTAGCCGGTCAATCTTTGTTTTTCATTTAACTACTGGCATAGTTTGCCGGCCCTAAAATTACAATATATCGATGAGTGCACAAAGAATTCGAAAAAACTAAATTAGATGTTTTTGAGACAGCATTTTTTCGTATTTATTAATGATGGCATATCTGTTTGACTTAACTATCATATTGTTCAGCTACATCTGTCACAGAAAAGAACTAAACGAATCAAAAGAACACAAGAATAACACATAACTAGTTAACCAAAAACAGAGAGCAACCAAAATGACTCAAATAAATATTTACGGGTTCGATAGAGATATGTTGTCTCAAATGGCTTAATTTGAAATGATCTGATACTCCATCGACAGAAATCATTTGTAAACCGTTAAGTTATAAAATGAAAGGATCCAGTTTCTCCCCCGTGCAAAAGAAAGTACGTAGGATGGTCGCATGCCCTTGAATTTCAAAAAAACACCATCCGGAACTTTAATTGCATTGCAACTCAAAAAACCCACATTAGTTCAATTTGAAAACGGGCCACCTACTCAAAATGTCCACAATTATGAAAAAAATCACATTTTGGTTACTTGTCTTAAATATAGCCCTGATCTAAATGATGCACCATATATGACCATTTAATTCCATAGCTAGATAAAAGATAAGTAATTTTTGTCATGTCAAATCATTCAGACTTACATGGTCATTATAAAAGTTTTCATGTTATTTTGAGTTCTTTTCATAAACCCACCACTGAATATAGGGTACCAAATAAGTACGACAGACTAAAACAGAAAGAATAGACAAACAAACAATGTTTTCTTTTAAACTTTAGACATTCGTAATAATCAGGCTATTAAGGCTAATTAGAGCATCTGTGTATACGTTTGGGCTTAAATAAAAATAAAATATCAGTAATTAAATTGTGATTTTATACTGAATTATGGTTCATTAGTTGGAAAAACAACTCTTTTTTTTTTTGTATATCCCTTCGCATTGCCTATTCCTCGGCCGGCATCGCGCGTCAAAGTCTATGGCGGCAGGATGTTCTCAGCTCATGAGTTTGGAAAGTGTACACAGGCAGTATGTTTTGTATGGATGGACTGGTGTCGAAACTTCGGAAGCGATGTCAGATCAGTTCATTAACAATGTTGAGGACAGTTAGTCTTGTGGCGTAGTGATCTGATGAGTTTTGAATGGTAGTATGGGATGCGCTGTATTTTAGATAGCTTGGCCTGAATATTGTCTGAATATTCACTCTTTGCCATCACTCTCAAATATCAATAAGTTAAATATAATGAATAAGGTAATAAGAAGTGTGACAGAAGATAAGTTGAGGATAATGTCCCAAACCCTATCAAAAAGAATATTAATAGTTAATTCAATTAATTATTCTTTTTATGTAAGGTTTCGGTTGAGATTAAAAAGTTAGTGTCACGAGCGGGATTCGAAGAGATTAAAAATTCGAAAAGTTGTACGATGAGATTGGGAGTTGGTGTCGAGTGGATTGATGTCACGATAGCTCAAGTGGTAGCGGCTATTGAGCCGAAGGTCGTGGGTTCGAATCCCGCTTGTGACACTGACTTTTTCATCTCAACCAATACCTTACATAAAAAGGATAATTAATTGAAATGATTAACATGGTCAATTAGGCTACTAAACATAAATGGATTAATAGTTAATATGAGCTAGACAGAAAAGTAGAAACTGTTTTTTATGAAAAGCTATTTTTTAATACAGGTTTCAGGGCAAATGATACTTTACGGCATATTTATACTTTTTCTTTCTAAAATGCATCAAACAAACAAAAAATCATACACTAACCCTTTGTATTGACACAAAATGTTAATGTTACCTTTCTTGAAATACAGGATCTAAAAAAAATTAAATTTGTGTAACTTGATGTACGATATATGTTTACATTCTGGTGGGTATGAAATAAGTCGGGCATGGGACTCAAAATAATATCAAATATATCAAACAGCGATTTTACGATAATTGCAGCAATGCATTTAATAAGTGAAAACATGCGTAGATAACTGACCTGATTCATTAAAAATTAAATTCTACGACTCGATAAAAAAAGTAAAATTATATATTTTGCATATGAAATATGAGTTTATTTCGAGTAGTAGACGTGTCCAGTTTAACCTATATTCAGTCTAAACAATTATAAGTCCGATTATGAAATGACAAATTATAAATCTTAATCAAACTACGGTGACGGTTATCTAGATGGCCTTTTGCATAGTTATACCAAGGACGACACACCTTCAAAAGCCCCAATCGAATGCATTAAATAATATTATATTTACCTGATAAACATTATTCTGTTTCAGTTGGCGCTTGGAATGGGAGCGAGTGGACATTTCTTGCCTTCTTTGCTACCATCCCCTCATCGAGGACAGAGCCAAGGGTAAATCATGTCACGTCTCTTCCTTCTTATAACAGGATTATCCACGACAATTTGTAACACTAGTTCTCGAACATGCCAAGTTCTTGCAGTGTTTCTTTCTATCAGGCCATTTTTCAATTGTCAACCGGGTACTGCATGTTGGGAAAATATTTTAGCAGTGGAAAACGGAATTCAATTGTTCCATAAATGTAAAAACAAGTCAGAGTGAAATTCTTGATAACAGACGGCGACGTTTGTAATAAGTAGTTCCTCTTAGGAAAAAAGTGAGATCTTTGATAAAGATCCGCAATTACTAATTGTAATCTCTTCCGCTGTGCGAAAGTGAAATGGGTGAGAAATGTCCTGAGAACAATCGTAAATCGGCGGAAACACGTGAAAACGCGATTAACTCTTTGGGGTTGGGCCTGTTTGAGGATTATGTAGGACACGCGATTGCTGTCTTTATCAATGATATCTTGGACAATCATCCTTCTCACTGAGTAAAAAAGACACAAAACATGAACAAGTTTCTCGAAGAGTTGCAAATATTTCGCTAACAACAGATGAATGTTTCCGCACATTTACATATATATAATTGATGTAATTGCTTATGCCCCGCAACAATTTTATATTCGAGCTCTATTAATTCAATAAACAAACAACACATGGAACTTATAGACAATAGATCCGCTCATAGCTGGTCTAGCACACCAGTCACAAAAAGAATTTATAAAATTATTTAAAATAACTTGATATTATTAGTATTTTCCTGATGTCAATATATAAAATCGGCCGAGAAATTTACAAAAACCTTGATTTTATTATAGTTGGTTAAGAAACAGTTTTTATTGAGTAACAGTGTTGAGGGGAAAAACTAAGCCATGACAAGTCCAGCACTTGACTGGTAATAGAGTAAGTGAATAAACAAATCTGAATTATAGTCCTGTCGCACTAGTATAATTTTTTTGAAGTAGAAAGTGAGAACTATTACTATTTAAATTTAAAAAAGTTTTGAAATAATAATACAATTTTTACATCATTAATTAAGATAATTTCTCTTGACCAGAAAGTATAAGATAAACCAAAAAACAGAATATTGCAAACATAATCTCTCTCTTTTCAATATTCATTTTATGTCCGATCTTGTGCTATTTTGCCAGAAAATAAAAGCCATTTTTTTTGATAATTTAACATTTAGTTTATATTTGATATGATGCTATACATATACCATTTTTTAAAAAAATTTAATATAAGAAAAACATTGTAAGACCAATTTTACTTTATACGAAAAGCATTTTTTAAAATTATTAAATAAAAAATAGGTCGAGTTGTGTGTAATGTTTGTATTATTGTGGTCTTTACGTCCATTAGCTATAAAACAGCTAAGAATCAGCAACATTTTTACTGTATAATTTATTTTTAATTGCAACTTGATTACTCATAAGCGTCTTCTTATTTTCCGACAGAATATGATTTATATTGCATATTCAAAAAATTAGACAGCTTAAATATTTTAGCTCGGTCTGACTATCCTCACTGGGGTGGAGTGTCAAATTCTTTTCACCTTTCTGCTATTTTCATTGTGACTGTCAATTCTGTAGACAGGCCACTTTTAAAAGTTCGGAAAGGATGGGGGCGAGTAGTTGGATTATGACTGAGGGCTTTCGTTCTAGTCTATCTTTTTCTTTTTAATTCGTATGTTTTGAGTGTTGTAAACATGTATGTTAATTATTTTTAATTTGTGCGTTTATGAGTTTTTATAGAGTTAAAGAGTTGTACATTTGTGCACGTCGTGTAAACATTTCACCTTTGTCTGAATTTTTGAAGGTTCGTGATGGTTTTCGTTGAGGTGGAATAGTTTGATTTTCCGTCATTGTCCTTAAAGGATCTTATATGATCTTAGTTGTTTATTTTTCCTTTTGTCTGTCGATGTGTTTGTCTCCACATTCGCATGTTATGCCGGATACGTCATTTTTGTGAAGTGGGTTGGTTATATTTTAATTTTAATTGGGTGGTCTTAAGTAGTGTTTTAAATCATAATTTGTTAATCATATTTGTCAGCTTGTATGTTGGTGTTGTTTTATTTATTATTTTGTTGAACGTGTTGGTTGCTGTATTGCGGGCAATAGATTTTAGTTAGAGTTTGTTATTTCTCTTTTGTCAATGGTAATGTCCAGTCTACCGTCACATAGCCCACGCCCACGATCTTATACCAGAAATCATTAGTGGTCAGGCTTTTCATAAATTGAAAAATGCTGATTAGTCACATTTTTTTCGCGTTTCTGCAAATGGATGTAATTGAGAAAGATTTATGTTTAAGTGCCATGGTAAAAGAGCCATGAGAACATTGAAAAGTTATCTAATATAAATATTTAAAAAAATTTAAATAAACCATTTAATTAACTACAAAACATATTATTGAAAAATTTCTTTTTGATTACACAAGTTACGACAGCAAGAGTAGGGCATGGGATGATTTTGTATTTATGTTATTTTTTCTGTATCTTTATTATCTTTATTTAAAAAATTATTTCTGCAGTTACAATGTAGCTAAAATTTTGTATTTTCCAATTTATCTTAACTCTGACTAAGACGAGATGTTTAATCTAATAAAACAACTATGACTTTACTGGTGATAATGATTAGTTCAGCAGTACATTTTTTACAGTACATTACAACAGTTTCTTTAAATACATTTCGAAGTAGTTTCGTGTTTTCTTATCCAAAAGATTAGATTCGATAATAGCTGAATCACCATTGGAAACTGAAATGACTTGTAGCTTGCTCAAAGTTTTCGCTATAACATAAAGTTTTCAATTTTTTTGTATTATTTGTATAACTTAATTTTTTTTCCAGGCACTTTTGGTCTGAACATGAAAAGAATGATGAAAGCAACAGCTACTTGTATCAATCTCCAGGATACCAGCAATATTCTGACTATGCAGATTTCTACCATCAACAAGTCCCTGCCCATGCGCCGTTGTCCAACCCTCAACTTCTTCAGGAACCGCAAGTAGTTTATCAGCAAGAAACGCCGTATCAGCAGTTGGTTCAACAGCAAGTGTTACTGCCCGACGTTTCGTACCAGCAGCATCTTCTTCCTTATCAATACCTGACAAGAAATCAGGAACCCTCTACGCCTCTAACTGCCCAGACGACGATCCCCCTCGTAGTAAAATTCCCAAATAACGAAGCCCTCGTCGTACCGGTAAAGGCGGTGTACACGCTACCGCCATTTTTAGAACGCATAGTACAGAGGGTTCAAGGGTACTACTCTGTATACAATCCGGTTGAGAATTTGACAGCGGACCGCCCGCTTTTCCACCCGTCGACCCCGTCAACGGCATCGGGCGTTCCTGAAACAACCACCGGCTCGCCTGTAAAATCGAAGGCGTCGACGACAGAATCACCGGAAGCGTCTACGAACGCCAACGGAGAAAACACGACGACATCGACGAACGAAAATTCTTCGGACAAAGAAGACGACAAGGATAGCGAAAACTCGACGCAAGAAGGATCGACGATAAGCGAAATGGTAACGACTACCGAAGCTGCAGAAGTTTCGACAGATTCTACTCAGACAGATCTTCAGAACGAAGGCTACACGTACAACAAGCCTGGTAGATCTTTTTTCCATTAAAAAACAAAACAAACAACGATTTCTTCTTCGCTTCCATTCCGAGGCACAAAAATCATTGGCAACGCCGTGAGTCATGTAGCGTAGGCACTAGGTAAACGACCCGTATATTCTTTTCCCCAGTCGGTTGTCGCCTTTCTGTTCCCTTCCTTTGTTTTTTTATTATTTTTATTTTAACTGTATTTTGTACATTTAAGGCAATGTTTTTTAATAATGTTTCAAAAAATTTAACATTCCATGTTTAGATCTAATTAACGACTTACAAATTGGACTGGAGAATAAACTTTAATTTATTTTTAAGAAGCATATTTTTTAAAATATTAAACTACCTTTTCCACAAACATTCCTATTAGTATAAAAACTCGTAAGATAATAACTAACATAAATAATATAATTTAATAATGAAACGATACAATTAATATAATTAAATAATATGTTAATGTTTTATAAATTTAATGTTTTATTGCTAAATACGTACTTACATAACTTAAAGAAATTTTTGAATCATTGATAGACAATTGAAATAGTACAACATTCTTAGTAACGTGAATTTAAACTAACAAGAGAAGGGAAGTTGGTGTCCGAGTGGATCGAGGTCACGATAGTTCAAGTGGTGGAGCAGCGGCGTATCTAGCCGAAGGTCGTGGGTTCGAATCCCGCTCGTGCCATTGACTTTTTTATCTCAACTAAAACCCTTAATTAATACTAACAATAGAGTTAGAGGTACAATTGGAACCTAATCAGTATGAGCGCTACCATCATAAATTATTTAAAAAAAGAATAATTAATGGATTGAAATAAAAACACAATTAAGCTACATGGTTTGATTTACTAATTTATTTTACGATTCGAAATTTTCCCATTAGCCTTATTCATAAGATATTATAATTTTATTTTTGTGTGTTTGTAGTGGTGGGTTCTTCTGAAACCATTTAGGACCAATTCAAAGAGAGCAATTTTGCATTAGACTAGACTTATTTATGTAATTTTATTTTTAAACTATCTATACAATTACCACTTTTATTATTAAACTCTTGGAGTATTCTGAACTTCTGAACTCAAAAATATAGAGAGAAGATATGATAGAGAATTTTATATTTAATAAACAGTGTCAACGTGTTTTGTTTTGTTTTTTAAATAAAAACATAGCTTTAATGTTTATTTTTTGACTGACTGCAGTGGAGTTTATACAGCTTCATTATCATATTATAAATTCCAGAATTTTTGGTGTAATGGATGCCAAAATGGTAAAGCAAAAAAAAGTTCCAGGGGCGGTCTGATCAGCTAGATCATTTCAGTCTTCATGGCATGCAGTTTCTAAACCTAGATCCTCACACTCTCATTCATTTTTGATAAAATTAAAATATTTGCATACCATCCACTCAATTAGAGTGATGAATTTATACATGAGGTTTTACACATATTTGACTAATGCAATTGGGGGTCGATGAGGTCTTACTCTCATTTTACCCAAACGTGAACAGAAAACGAGACATCTATCAGTACTATATGTAATAAAGACCTCTTTCCTTCAATAATCGGAACTGGGTACCATGTTCAGCGCAAATCTCATATCGGGTGACATTCCTATACGCTCTTTATATGGAGCCAAGGAATGACACCCTTCCTTACAAACTAACCCCCCCCCCCTCATAACGAAGTATCCCATTTTTCGAAAAGAATAAGTACAACCGTTATTAAGTAAACCAATCAGAACGTCTAATTTAATTAACGTTGAGGTCTTGATTGCCATTTGGCAATGTCGGATCGCCTTCTCTCGTATTTTTTTGGAGCAACGTCGAATAGTCCTTAGGTTGACTCGATCAATAGAACAAAACAATAAATACAAAATGGTTGATTTGGACCATATTACTGTTTATTCTGTAAAAATCATAGTCTGAAGAAATTAATTATGCTGAGACCACCATACTGTCTGCATTCAGTTGGAAGGCATGACATAATTCTTCCAAACTTTATCAAGAGCATTTGTAAATATTTAATAAATTAATAATATAATAATGTAATAATAATAAGTAGAAATTTATTTTTCTTGGTATAATTATATGAATTCCAATGTAAATACACATAATATAAAATATGACCAATTTTGATAATGTTTAGTCTTATCTTTCAGCCAGACTTTACTTTCTATTTTTAGTATATGAAAATCGTATTGCAACGACTAGTATCATTCCCACAATTAACAATAAATTATATGCAATAAAAGAAAATTTCCTGTTACAGATTTAACATTTAATCCAATTCTGTTTTAAACGGAATATTTCTAGCACGTTTGAATTCATATAGATGTTTTTAAAAAGATAGTTCCTACTCACAGTAAGTTGTTTTGCAACGATCCGGATTTCGAGACTTTTAGCTCATTATCAGGTTGAAGGACTTCTACAACCTGATGATGAGCTAAAAGGCTCGAAATCCGGATCGTTGTAAAACAACTTCCTGTGAGTAGGAACTATCTTTTTAAAAAGGATTGAACCCCACACTCACTCCATCATTTATCATTTCTATCATATAGATATTTTCATATGGAGTTCTCAGATATGATTAATTTTAAAATGAGTGAGCATCATTTTTAACCACACAATAATCTTTTTTGTTAGATCTAAAACAGTAGAAGGACAAAATAAACAATATTTGATTTAGAAATCAAAACAAATCGAATAGATTGAGCCCACGGAGTATCCTACTGGGAAATACAATAGAACTTTTCTGGACTTTCCAAAGTCATTGATTCCCTGCACTTTCATCTGTCTGGGGGTATAAAATAAAGGTACCGTTTTGTTTCTAGGTAGAACAAAAAAAAAAAAAAAATCACAATTTCATGCATTGTTTATTATTTTTAAACTGAAACTATAACAATTCTAAAGTATATTTTGCCTGCAACTTGATTAGTGGGGAGAATTAGTAATCGGGTAGTGCACTTAAGTTTGATATAAAAGCGCAAAATTATAAAACAAACTCGAAAAACCTGTTGAATATAGCATTGACTCAAGACCTGAAATAATTATTTCGTATTACGAAAATTGTAAATTTATAAGGAAAGGTAGACGTTATTAAGGAAAACAATCAATGTTACAGAAATTTAATAAGTGAACATTTTTATTAGGAGAATTAATATATTTTTACCTTAACTTGTTTTATTTATGTTTTCAATATCATGCAGTTGGTCATTAGTTAGTCATTAGTGTATCGTTCCTATCTACAAAATTCGGACGTTGACCTGTATTAATATGGTTTGCAAAAAAAAAAATCTGAACGTTTACTAAAACCAGAAAATATCTAAGTTAAATTTTCTTACGTTAGGTCTACTAATTGTCCGTGTTATGCTGTTATCACTTGCCAACCACCAGATTTTTGTATTTCAAAAAACATTCATTAAGTTACACAACTATGTTTATTTTGTAAAACAAATGGCGAACTTTTTTCCCGTATGAATTATAAACTTTAGATTAGTGTTTGTAAAACACAAAGGAGCAAGTGGTTTTATAATAGTTGAAGAATTTCATCAAACTCGTCAATTGTGAAATTGATCTAATAGTGTGTGGGTGGGAGGGAGAGAGAGAGAGAGAGAGAGAGAGAGAGAGAGAGAGAGAGAGAGAGAGAGAGANGAGAGTGAGAGAGAGAGAGAGTGAGAGAGAGAGAGAGAGAGATTTCTTACTTACTCTTTCTCTCTCTCTCTCTCTCTCTCACTTGTGCTTTATTGGGTTTTCCTGAGGAAAATCCTCCAGTTTTTTTCATTACTTTTTATTACCCCAGGCCGTGAAGATGATCTCAATAAAGATTGAAACGTTGGCACGATAAAGAAAATGTTTTTCTGAAACCTACATCACACCAGACCGCATCTCACGATTTCAGAATAATTACTTTTGATTATTTTCATTATTTTTTAATAAAAACTTCAAAAGCCCAATGGCTAATTTGTTTGTACCCAACAATTCTGTAAGCGCCATATCGGTCAGTATCCACAGAACCGAGAAAATCTTACTCAAGCTTTACAAAGGAACTCTGGAATAGCGCAAAGTTTATTTTCTAAGTAATTTTATATTTTGTCTATTTGGTATATTATCTCACAGAGGTCTCAATGTTCTTTCTATTTTTCAATTAATTAAGGTTTTTAGTTGAGATAAAAAAAAGTCAGTATCAAGAGCGGGATTCGAACCCACGATCTTCGGCTAGATACGCCGCTGCTCTTTCTCTCTGCTTTATCTCAACTAAAAACCTTAATTAATTGGTCAAATATGAAAGATATTAATTGGTCAAACGGACCACGAAAACTAGAGAATTTAATAAGTTAAATGAACTATATTTTCACTAAAGCTCTCCTTGGCCATTTCATTTGTCGCCGAGAATCAAATAGTTCAATATCAAATTTGAAAAATGGCAAAAAGGAGGGAAAATTCAAAAGGTGGGGTTGAGATGGAAAGTTAGCGTCCGAGCGGATCGGTCACGATACCTCAAGTGGAAGAACAGCGGCATATCTAGCCGAAGATCGTGGGTTCGGATCCCGCTCGTGGCACTGACTTTTTTATCTCAACTAAAAATCTTAATTAATTGAAAGATATTATTGGTCAAGCGAACCACGAAAACTATTGAGTTCTGTCTATTTGTGTAATCATATTTACAGTAGGATCATCAGTTTATGAGATATGATAAACTTTGTGGAGTCAATTTGTAAAAGGTTGAAATAACATCAAAAATGAAATATCTCACTTTCAGTATTGAGAATGAGATTTTGAACAATAGTGACTTTTTCGTCCGATTTGTCATGCAGGATAACCACCTGATGTATTCACGTCCGTTCACTGGACACCGGTATATTTATAATATATTCATCTAAAATTTAATTAACAGACTATTCATTCATGACATAAAAGTATATGGGGTCAGATATAAGAAAAAATAAATTAGGTGATTATTTTTTTATAGCATATTTTTAATTTAACTATTCAAGTACGAAAATGTGTGTGTTTAGTCTGTATGAATTATAAGAATATACAACAAATATTGTTAAAGACAACATGAAAATCAATGTTTGTTAAGTTATAAATGGGAACTCTCGGTAATTTTTAAAATTGTTTTCCTCACGAATTGGTGACATGTATTTGTACAAATATGTGAGGCTGAAAAAATGTAATTGTTATTCATTAGTCAGGAGAGAGCGAAACGGTTTATCGTCATGGCAGGATGCTCAGAATCACAGTTGAATCTGAATTCTTTTAAAGTTGGTCAGGATAAACCAGTTTCAATCAAAAAGATATTGCCATTTATGAGAAGGCCCGTTATAAACGTACGAAAAATTCCCTTAGGACCCTTTTGACCAACTTAGTTTAAAAAAATGAATATTGGCAGATACTTTGAACAGAACAGAGTTTGATTATTATAATAATCCTACTACTTACTCGAAAAATCGGTAATGATTTCCCATAGGAATTGAACGGCTGGATTTTTAATATTCAAAATTATTTCGGATTGGAAAATAGGCATGCGGACGAATCTGACTTGCAGATTGAAGTACCACCTTTTTATATACAGTATATTTGTTCAAGTCCCTTTTCATCGTCAAACATTTTCTCTCACCCTGACGGAAGTGGGGACCAGAAGGCAGAAAGGCAAGGATGGAATATGGAATTACTATCAAGCCGACGATTAAGCTGGCTGTTGGCTGTCGGCCCGTTAGCAGGTCAGCTCAGCACACACACAACCTAACAGTCACCTGACAGACATCGGGCGGTTGAAGTGAATCCAAGGAATGTCCAACTGGGCATTATGAACACATTTTCTTTTGAGGTAAGATCAAATTCAAAAGTATTACAGCGAAATATTTACTTTATACGTAGTTATTTTAATTTTTGAAGCTTCGTGGAACATCCTCAAACCCAATATTAAACATTCTGCTGACATGTTTACTTTTTGCTTCAAATATTCTACATTTTGTCGTAGTGTTTTTATTAAAACAACTATCAGGGATGATGCGACTTTAAGAAAACATTTTATTCTGTTTTGAAGTATTGTTGATTTTTTGAGGAACATATCCCCTTTATCAGACTTTCAAAATTTTAATTAATAATTAAAATGTTAATCTTTTTAATTGAATGTGAACATTTACTCACAATTTTGATGCCAATGGTTTAAAGCACAATGAAATTAGATATTGAGATCATATAACACATGGCAAGTGCGTTGTATAACAAAAATATATTTTTAGTTTGAAAAAATGGATTTATTCGTCGACAGCTATACCAAGGAACTCAGTGTTTTCTTTGAACTATAAATTATTAATGATTAATTAATCATTTTAAATTATTACTGCTAACCAGGAGAGTCTACAGATCACCGATTTTAATGAAACTTTGGTAATACTAGGTGGAAAAATACTATATGCGTTCCAAATGTTCTTGCCAATGGTCACTAGAAGCCAAGCAACACTTATTTTAAGTAAGTTAAATTATTGGTTTCTGTCTTTGTTGTGCTGTATTTCAAATTTGTGGTACATCAGTCGGTTAGATTTTTTCGTAGGATAAGAAAATAAAATGTAAGATCATACTAATGAAAGTAGATTTATAAAAACTAAAAAAAAAATGTTTCCAATATGGCAGCCAAATTAATTTTAATTTCAATCATTTTTTAAATCAAAATCAATTTTTAAAATAAAATTTGTACCTTTGTTGCGCATGTACAAATAACAATGTTATCGTGTATCAGCCAATGGGGATTGTTATCTAGAATAAGAAAATTATTCGAAGGATCGTATTAAATAAGACTGAAAATGTAAAAAGTTAGAAAAACCAAAAAACGATTTTAGTAAAGTATGTCAAAAACAAAGCAATGGAGGAAAAAAACACAATTCGAATTTATTTTAAGCACTCGTTAACACTCACAAACACGAAATTTGATAGCAATAAAGGATAGACATTATTCGTCAAAATTCACGGAAGATTTTTTTCCCACTAATGTTCAGTGTTCCTCTTAAAAATTCATAACATCTTTGAATTTTATCTAAATTGAACTCTTATCCAACCATTCAAAAAAAACAAACAGAAAAGGCTCTATCAGTATAGTTTAGATTTTGTCATGATAACCGATAAAAATAGGCTGAAATTAAAAAACAATGTTATAACGTTTTATTTTATTTCTCCTTTTTTTAATTTCTCCTAATTTATTTATGGAAACGCCCTTTCCGTCATAACGTGTTGTTTATTAAGTTCTAAAGCCCTGTATTGTAATCGGTAGAGCCGTTTCAAAATCATGACTATTTTTGTGATTTTCAAAAAAAAAAATCTGAGGCATTTTCAATCATTTTGTATTCAGGGTATTTTTCGGGGCGCAAACTCTGGTTTTTGCTTTAAAAAAATAATCATCTACCCTTTAATTGAAGTAACAGTATTAGAAATAAACATTTGAGTTATTTGACGTATAATCAAGCATAAGGTTGCACATAGAGCACTAAACACTTCCAATGAGGAACATTGCAGATATGAGGCTCAAGTTGGTTAGTGTTGATCTGCGCATCGGTATGACATAGATGAAGCTATTATTTTTTGTATTTTTTTGTTTTTGTGAGATTTATTTTTAAGGTCAACGATGTTATGAACCTGTTTAGACGCTTCTTACCCTGGTCTTCCTACAATTGTTTTGGTCTATCATACACTTCCTATCTGCTGTGGTAGATTTGTGTCAAATGTTGAAATACCAAAATGTGCCTTTTTTCTTGGTCATTCTTTTCAGCCATGTATTGGGATCAGCTATGTTCATGGAATTTTATATCTTTAAGCCCTGGGTAAGAATTATAAAAATAGTGAATATCTGAATACAACCGATTTTTTTCACAAGCAAAATAGTAAAAATTTTGAAATGAATCTATCAATCTACAGCAAACTTCATCAGAATTTAGAACCCTATAAATTACACGTAATGGCTTACATTTGGACTCGGTAAATAAAATAGAAAACATAAAATAAAACTTTGAAGTAATTTTATGTTGGTTTCATCTTTCTTTCTTAATATACCTTTATACACTTGAAAGTTGTTGACATAGAATAAATGTATAATGTTATAATGTATAAATGTGTGTATAATGTATATAAGTGTAATAAAAAAAAATATGTATAAATGTATAATATTACATTTGTTGGTGGTTACTATTTATCAGAAGTTACAGATCCTGTAATATCTGTGCAGAATATTATTTTATGATCATCTTCAGAGTGCATCTGTATCTTATTTCTTGAAAATACTTACACAAGAATTGAACGGAAGAGCCGACACGCACACGTATGTATGAAGGTGATGTAAGTCGCCAATGAGCGAGAATAGATGGACCAGAATAATCACCGATGTTCAGTCTATGTACAAATAACTTTTTATTTTGAATCGCCGTATATAAAATTAAAACTTCAAGTTTCTTACATCGGTAGTACAGATACAATATTTTTAACATAAAAATGTTGTAAAATATCCAAAATAACAGCAATTTCAGGTTTTAAAAATTAGTGAAGTCTCGAATTTAACGGTTATTTTAATTGACACTTATTATGTGTTTGCTGTAATGTTTTCCCAGGTATCTAAATCACGCTAGTGACCCAAAAATTGGTATTCCGCTGAGTACAAACAAAGACGCGAGCAAAATTTTAAACATACTTGCACAAAAACCTTCCAAAAATAACCCACATTTATCTATAATCGTAACAAAAGTGGGTTTTCCTTGTTGAAATTGGTGTTTTGTGATTTCTGCAATATCCCCAGCATCACCATTTTAGAAAATATATTCTAAACAATTTCAGTTCTGAAATAGCAGCATTTTCTTCATAAAGGGCATCGTTCTGCAAAATTGCCAATGATGATCACTATCTTCAATAATAACAATTCATTTTTGTTAGTTTTTAAAATTTAGATCAATTATGAACTTTTATAATAAAAAACGATCAGATGGTAAAACCAATCGTAGTTCGTTGGTCAATTTAAAATCTACAGTTTCAAATATAATGACATTAAGAATTGAATTTTCAGACAACAAAATCAAACATGACCTGTCGAATAATAATAATAATAATAATAATAATAATAATAATAATAAATAATAATAATAATAATAATAATAGAACATAGTTATATCTGACTGAAATAACAACTAACTGCTTACAAAGTTATATGGTCTACCTTACTAAATGCAGAAAAATGAAATTGGTTAAGAACAAACACAACACACAATAGTGACTGTACAACTATGTATTACACACTTGTTTGTATAATTGTCCAGCTAGTTAAGAAGAATTCTTTTCTTTGGTTTTTAAATATTGGTTGTTTCTTATTTTGTAGATTTGGTACGTCACTTTTAGCCTACTCGCTGTACTTTCATCGGCTGTCAACTTATATCAGCCTTATACAGAAGACTTATTCCCCAGAAGGTATTTATTCATACGTTTCACCAAAAAGTTGTTATTTTGCTTTAATTGTTCCAGATCATGTTGCCCTCAAAAAGTAGAAGGTAGAATCTATTTCAACGCAATTCAGAATTTTTTGGACCCCTATCTTCCAATTACAATAAACGTTCCTGACATGGTGGCATTTTTCGGTGAATATATGGGCTCTGTGTATCAATATTTTTTCTCCGGTGGACAAAACCCATCAACAACACCGAGAATATGGGAAGAATTGTTGCGTGAAGTGGATGTAATAATATCAGAGTTTTAATCTTATTATTATTTTTTTTATTGTTACCTGTTGTAAAGATAATAATAAATACTTATATGTAATATAATTATTAACCATATAATTAATTAGAAATTAATTTAATTTAACAACATTGTCAATTTAAATAGTTTACTTGTAATGCTTGAAATATTCTTCATCTTCATGCATAAAATTTTTCATATGTAATTTGGAAATGGATACTTTGTCAATGTTTACATGCTTCTGATTGGATAATAGTTAATATTAAACAAATAAATTAAACTTTTTTCCACTTTGATGCTACATTTGCCACAAAGTGAGGACACATAAAACTATATAAATATTGTATTGCATTTTTGTATCAAAACCCCCAAAGAAAAACGCTAGTAATAGTTAATAAAATATACTTGAACTTTAATTGTGCTATTTATTTTATATGTACATATATATTTGACATAAGGGCTAGTAGTTCACAGCTTATGGCAATTATTCTTTCTTATTCATTCTTATTTTATTCTTATTCACTATACCAATGAAATATATTGAATAAAATAAGTTTTACAGTGTAATTTATTTCTATCTTTTTACTAGAATCTAAATACATTTAATGTTAGGGTGTTCTATTCTATTATTAACATTATATTATTCATTCTATTAGTAACACGATAAATATGCATCAATTAAACAAATAAATATATGAACATAATAAGCATAACTTCTATCACAGATTTATATCCTTAATTATGTTGGAGCAGATGTGATTTTCGCCTTGGAGAATCCCCCCCCCCCCAGGCATAATGAACAGCACCATTGACAAATGGAGTTCATTGAGCAATCTTTTGAACTTTTTGCTTATAAATTATTTGTTGGAATGTTTAGTCTTAGCACAATTGGGCATTTCTTATAAGAGGCCAACTCCTTTAACCTTTTAACTTGAAGGCCAAGCTCAATTTGAACTTCGTTTTTGGGTTTAAACTCACTATATGTAGCTCATCTATGTCACCCACAAATGTTCTCTTGTAAAGGTAGTTAGTAGAGTGTTCATGTAAATGTTGAAAAGCAATGGTGAGAGGATAAAGCCTTAAGGAGTCCTGGAGCCTGCTGGTTTACATATATTAAATAATTTTGACTTTTTTTACCTACCACTTTAATTACTTTAATTTTAAGTGCAAACAATAATAGTAATGGATTATTGGAGATCTGCATGAAATGGGTTTTTTAATAATATTGTATATTTGATGATAAAAAGTATATTTTGAAAATACAATCGCTGAGCAAAACGTTCACACTTTACAGGCATTATAAATATTCTACATATTAAATAAGCTTCACATGTGTAAATTTATTAAAAAGGCCTCAATTTATAAACTATTTTTTTAATAGCAATTTAGAGAGATTCGTTGGGATTAATCTATAATATCAGTTGTACACTCGTATATTTTATAATTAGATTTTTTAAAGAATAAATGCTGTCTGACATTTATTATAGAAAAATCCTCTCTTTTCAGTAATTTATTCTAATCGGTTCACTAACACATCACTAAAATGCCTACACACATAATAAATAATATTTCATGATGGCAAGAGTGAAAAAGGCCTACAGAAATATTTATGAAGAATTAAAATTGAAAAGAAAATAAAAACAATAAATTTACAGTCTACATCACATTTGAAAAAGGAAACATTGTTTTAAAAAGCATATTTTCATTACAATGTTTGTTGTGGTTCAGTTCCATTTCACTGCTATCTAGGTCGTTTTCAGGCAGGGTATTAAATTTATTCATTTCTTTCCTCTGAATTTTGTTCAGGGTGATAGACTGGGTAAACTTGCAAGTTTGGTACAGAGCTTATTTGCCATGAAGACTGTGAGTCCTGAACAGCGGCAACTGGTATATCTCCTGCTTGTTTTGCTTTGGCAGCGGTATCACTTGGTGCATGATCAACTAAACCTTTATTTAGTGGAATAAGATGTTTAAAGTGATAGTAAAATGCTCGCTTTCCTCCTGTTATCTCTTTTGTTTGTGGATTGTACTCACCTTTCGCATTGGGTTTGATATCAATTTTTTTCTCTAGTGAGATTGGATTTTCAGTTTTTACTAGTTTTACATCTGGCTTTTTCTCACCCTTCGACCCTTCATAGTGCGATTCTGCATCACTTTTACCTTGCCTGATGACCCATTGTGGTACTTGGCTTCGGAAATCAGGATTGTCGATAGATATTGACTCTTTATCATCATCAAATGTTTGATCTAAAAATTGGTTTGCTTGAACGAAGAGAGGGATTTTGGAGTATTCAGGGCGGTCAGGCTTGGGGACACCGTTTTCAATTATTACTGTGTGATCGGAAGGGTTGTCCAAATCGTGATCCAAATCAGAATAGACAGGTTGCTCAGCATAATCTTCATCCTTTTTCTTATCGCTGTTTTCTTCAGAACTGAAATGAATAAAATTGATTTTAAAAAATTACCTCAGTGAAACAATTAGATAAAAAAAGATCAATTTGGTTGTAAATTTAGTTTTAAGTTACTCAGTTGGTAGAATTCAGCACATAATGCATTGTTGATTCACCCAAGTGCAAAAACGTGATCTAGTTGAACCAGCTATTATTCAATTGATTTAAAGTGAATTAATGAAGCTATGTTGAATTTATAGAGCACTAGATATCAATTTAGCAGCAGAAACTTGTCAACATGAAAATAACATATACCATCTACTAACAAATTTAATGTTTATGAAATAACTGATAGAATTGCAATTGAATAGAAAAAGCTCATATTGTATTACATTATTAATCTGATTTAACATATAATCTCAATGTAACAGAATTTACTTAAACAAAAGATGAGACTTTTCATTCTAGACCTAAAATCAACAACTTCTAATTTGATCATTACAGGCAAATCTTATCATTTAAAAATTTAATTTTAAAGCATGTCTGCCCTTTAAATTATTAAAAGATATAAACAGTTTTATCATTTTAATTTGTTCTAAATTAATTTATTATTAAATTTTATTTATTTTTGGAGATGTTCTGAACATGTACATTAAACGTCTTTAAAATACTATATGCCTATTATCATGTTTTTATGTAAGTGTTTTGATATTTTTCACTATTTTGTAATATTTTTGAGTTTTAATTTACATCATGCCCCTTTTGTACAATTGTGAAAATGAGAAAAGTTTTCAGACAATCTTGCAATGCACAGAACAAAATGATGGAGATGATGAAATTACATTTACTGATTCCTTAAGAAAATATTGTTATAGTGCTCATATTTCATAGTATTACCTTTGATCCATTGCTGCCTGAAGTGAGGCCAGTGTTGCTTCATACAATCTAAAGTGCTGATCTCTTGCTGCTTGGACTTCAGGAGTGTACTCTGGAACTTGATGTACTGCTACAGGAAGGTTGTTACCCGCTGCGTGAAAACCAGACCCATCATCCCAGTAATGCATCTGAAAAATTTAAAACATAAAATGTATATAGCTTTGACAAATGAAAAATGAACAGATTTTATTACCCGGACAATATTTCCATTTGCGTCAATGTAACTGTACGATCCTCTGACGGTCCCGTCAGAATCTCTTGCCTCCATTCTTATTTGATCAGGGCTGTGGAACCCAAAAACAACCCTTCCATTGTCATCTTCTGAGTGAAATTGAGAAACTTCATATTGTTCTTCATTTTCGTCATCATTCGCTTGTGCCACATCCACTGTATCATCACCAGAATTGACTTCTGACACCCGGTTGTTCAGAACTGGCTGAGCTGGCTCTATAACTTGATAAAGTCTTTGTGGAGGAGTTAAATACACCAATTGGTACGGTGGATAAGGTAATGCTGGAAGGATCGGTTGGCCCAAACTCCACCCAATCACACCAATGGTCTGTAAAATCAGAGATAAAAAATGTCAAACAAACTTAATTTATGTGCATTCTAGTCACAATGGGAACATTATTAAATAATTGGTGTAGATGAATAGTAAGAAACAATAGTAAATATGTTTGTCAATGTATCAAGGAGAATGATTTGACTAAAGTGAGCTTATTGTTGCACCTCATCGTTATTTTTCTATTGTTGTTCTATTTGGAAACTGTGATTGAATAGTAACCCATGAGGTCAACATAAGCAAGTCATCTTGTCTATGATAAATCTGACAAACAAGGAGACATTTTATTTTTTTCCATAATGTTTTTCTATTATTGTATATGTAAAATATATACTTAATTGTTATAGGTTTAATATATTTTGAATGCAAATTTAAAAAAATTAAATTCTGAAACATATACTAGTTATATAATTTATAGAAAAACATCAGTAATATGTACATACAATTTCAATATTGAAATATTAAAAATGGCGATGTTTTTACTGTGCAAAACTATATTTGAAAAAAGTTATATATTTTTTACTTTATAATAATAATGATTATTGTTATATGTTTATTAGAGCCATTGCTGAAAAATAAACATATTAATAAATAGGATGATGGATGAAGCAATCAGTGTGAATAACCTATTCAAATTTAGTCAGCAGTCCGTATTAGACTTAGGTCTTTTCTGTTCTGTCAATATTAAGCTATTATTTTAGGGTAATTGAGAAACTTTTCTTGCAACCAAATTCTTAATTCTTTTACTGATCTATAAGTGAAATGTATGAAAGACTACTTTTCAATTGGGTTGCAGTCAAATGATAGATCCAACTAACCTGGGCCTGCCTTTGTCACTTGTGCATATTCACTTGGACTCAGCAAAATGAAAAAAAAGAAAAATAATAAATAATTAAATTCAAATGTTGAAGTCTAGAGCCTAACATGCATATTGGCATATGTATACGTGTTGGCTTGGCAAACGATAAAATTTTGAAAATTGAGTAATTATTCCGATCCCACTAACAGAGGTACGGAATAATAGAACAAGATAGAACCTTGCAATTTATCAAAATATTATTTACAATGTGAAAAAATATATAAAAAGTTCAAATTTAAACAGTAAACATTTAGATATTAGATCATATACACAAAAATTGTAGATCGTACATATAAAAATATGTTATATTATAATTAGAAAAAAGAAATGAAAGAGTTCAAAGGAAAATATAAATTAAATAAACAAACTGTGTTGTCTAGACAGAAATGTATCGTTATCAAGCAAATGAATCCATCACCACTTTCAAACAAACAAAGAAGACTTATGCAAACGAAAATACGAAGTACAAATCTTCCTGAATATTTATATAAAATATTTCTCAGGTGAATAAAATAAAATTAGAATTTTCTTAACTTAAACGAAAGTAAAATATACTTTTTTTTTAAATTATTCGGAAAACGGCCTGTTTGGGCGCCAAAATTTTGTAACCAGGATCTGGTATATTCAGACTAAAAAAAAAATCAACGGGCGCCAGCTTGCCTTTGACTATCATCGGGGATACTAAGTGTTAGCAGCCAGAATATAGCTCCGTGTGAAATGAGTAATAACAATTAATTTGTGGACTACAAACGAATTATAAAAATAGGAAACAACAAAAGAAAGAAAGTATTGAGATGATTTGACTAATTAAATATATTTACAACAAAAAAAAATTTTAACTAAAGTGAGCACTCACTTTAGACGGGAAGCGGTATATCCGACAGCATGGAAGGGGAGAAACTTTGGTGGCCTTTTTATTTTGAGCTACACTCGAAGTGGAAGCTATGATTTTCAATTTTGCAAAAGGCAAGGTTGATCGGTCAATTCCTTTTTCTATCCACAAGTTCTGGTTGACACTTAAACCTCGGTGTCTTAGTTCTCCGACCTAACCGCTTTTCCCTTGCGGGAAGATGCTGTGGTTAGGGCTAACTTCCTCATGCTTCCTATATTGCTGATGTAGCTAGTTCCATCTCCGGGCGTGAACTTAAACCTGGTTGTAAACCCTTCCGTTCAGGCCATCTCTACTATCTCCCATCTATAGAATCCTCCATTGGCCCACAGACTAACTAGTGCCCTATCGCTCGGCAGCGAGAGTGCCAGCCATGACTGGTTTCTAAAGACATGTGTCCTTCAGGAGCACTGTTGGTCTAGCATTGACCGGTAAAAATCAGAAGAACAATTTTTACAATACAACAAGATGTATAAATGTATGTAAAGAATACACATTTAAAAAATTATGAGCTGTTAAAATAAAACTGACAAAATTACAAAATAAAAATAATAATTAAGAAATAATGCACAGTAACAAACATTTATGGATAACACATGTTATATTTTACTACAAAATATCAAATCTTTGTGTTTAAGAAATTCATTTTTCATTTCATTTTCGATTCTATTTCAAGCTTAAACACACTATTGACCGTATCATTATGAGTAAAATAAAAAATACGGACTGTGAAGAAGCGATTGGAGTCGAGGTTCTGGTCTTGGAGGCTCTTCAGATTCTGCAGAAAAGGAAAGGTGTGACCCTAAAGAAGATTCTCTTATACATTATTGAAAACGGAGGGGTAGAAAAATCTCCGACCCTGGTCTCTTCAGTGAAAAAGACACTTAAGAGATTTCAAAGGCGAGGAGGTGTTGAAAAAGTTGGCCAAAGGTTCAAGATAGCCAAACTCACCGTCAAAAATAAGGAATGTACTTGCCGCAAGGTTTGAACCATCAACAATATAGTTAGTGTCATGTAAATTTTTTGTTTAAAAAAATCCATCATAAAACGTACATTGTTTTTTATTTTATTTATAACAATGATTTAATAGGTTTTTGCTTAGAATAATAAGTAACAGAATAAGATGATTGCAACAAAATTTGACAGGAAATTCTTAAATCTTTAAAGTCCAAAAATGATTGTTCTTACTTTAAATGACAATTATAAATTAATATTGGCTGTTTTTCCAACTTCTACTCTCTTTGACTTCTCACAAATTTTTGTATTTCCAATCATTATTTTTCAAATTGCTGGACGGTATTTCTCTTTTTAAGTTTCTATGATGTGTTTTACGTATTCCTTTGCTTCAGAAGGCTCTTGAATTATAATTACAAACAAAAATATGAAACTTGTTAAAAATATAAATAAACGTGTGATTATTGAACACCTGAGATATATGTATTAAAATTCATAAGTTTAACAATCAGAAAATATACAACACAACTTAAAACAATGATACTCTTCAAACAAGCACCACAGCCAGAAGATGCTAAATTAACATTGGTACTTATGTGGAAAATCCTAAAGGATATCAGCAGACAGAACGGAATAAGTTTGAAGGAACTTCTCGAATATCTGACCAGCCGTGCGGAATGCAGCATTAAGTCCAAAGTCTTAGAGGCTTTGAGTATCGGTCTAGAAAAGGCACTTTGCAATCGAGGGAGTACTCGTTTTCTGAAAGCGCTTGGCGAGAACCGCGAAACCGTTCCAAAGCCGAAGAAGATAAAACGCGAGAGACGGACCAAAACGCAGACTCAGAAAATGAAAAGGCCGGGGAAAAGCAATGGCGATAAGTCGAAGCTCAAAAGGAAATCATGCAGAAGGGAGGCTCTAAAAAAACGTTGAAGACTTGGATTTTTCCGTAATAACAAAAACAAAAACTCATATTTGGTTAAGCATTTGTAAACAATACAGTTCGTTTAAGTATTTGTTTGTATCATCTTAGCGATTTTATGGGTGGGGTTCACTGAAATTTCATCCGTCACGGGTAAATATAACTTTATTAGCCTGGTACCCGCAGGTGGCCTTGTTGGAACACACCCGATATTTCGTGAGGGAAACAATCCAAAAAGGATCCTGCGTTGAATAAACGCCGACTTGTTTTAATAAGTTGTGATTATTGGTTTCGGCCTGGAATTGATTTATAACATAATGTCATGGCCGGGTATAGTTATAATAGAAACACTTTGTAATGTTCGTTAATTCGTTTACATTGACAGCAGTTTAATCCATCATATATATCCATTAACCTTTCCACCTTCATACTACATTTCATGATCGACTGTTACCATTTATTGCAATGATGTTTTTCGCATGAGAACACGAGCACGACTGATGTATTTGTTCGAACGGACCAAGGACGGGCAGCGAGAATAGACCGACCGAAAAAATGGAAAAAATGGCGTTTCGTTTCAACAAATGCATAAAGATAAAATTTATAAAAAATTAAATAAGGTGTGATTCAATTAAACAAAAAATTATGAACAAACCTAGTCAAACGGTCCCCTGGTCCAATTTTGGGTGGAAACAGGGTTGTTTTATTATATATGGTACTGATAGCTTTGTGTACCTAGAGTGAGTTTAGAGTGAATGTATTTATTAGCGTGAATTTGTAGTGGAAGAGGGCTGTTGGCGAAATGACCTTCAATCAGATTAGTTTATAATAGGTGTAAAGTGTAATGGAAGAATACCCACCACTCCACTATCCTAATTAAATGAATGATTTGTAAATAAGAAAGTATGTATTTAAGAATGAGTGAGAATGTGAGTGGGTATGGACCTTCATGCATCGGGTGCTGAATTGTTCTAGGTGTTGACAGTACTTGGAACCCAACCTCGGTTCTGAATCGATAAGACGGAGGTTAACCCAGGTCTGGCTACACATGAGGTGGGCGATTCTCGAGGGCTATCGGTAATTTGCTGTAATTTACAAAAGCTGGAATTACGGTGTATGCGAGAAGTGATAAGCTCAATCACTTATGTGTAAATCCTTTCTAGATGGCACGGCTGAATTTCTATTGAACGAATGAACGTTCTTTAGCTGAAAACAATGGTGCAATGGTTTAAATTGGCCAAAAAATGACAAAGTTATTGCAAAAAGTTTGAGAAAAAACAGTCATTTGGTTTGCTATTTATTAATCACATTTCATGTTCGAACTGCCTGCCTTCACATTCACATGTGTTTAGAGACGTTAGATGCCTGTCATAATC